TACTATAAAACCTACTCTACTCGATAACCCTGTGTATTACTCCATACCTCAATAGCAAGTCGATTCGCAAGCTTAGAGCGATAACTGATAATGAAGCGCTGAGTGATAGGCGGTTGTTAGGTATGCACAATACGTGCCCTAACCAAAGAAGCCTACCAGTCTAGATGCAATCCGCTAGCAAATTTATCAACGATAAGCTTCCAAATGCACAACGACATACCTCTAGATTAGTAACCCGGCAATTACGTCCCACATGTGCCAAACCACGTAGGCACTGATAGTCGAAAATTCCGTGTTCATGGCTGTCTTCTACCCGCGAATTTGAGGTTTCACAAAGCAGAACTGAAGGAACGGAGGCACAAGATGCACGACCTTCAAACTTCAGTGAGACCTTATGTCCGCGTCCAAAGTGCTTCAGTCCTGCGGGTGCTGCGTGAGCCTGGGAAACGTGTGCGGTACTCTTTACTACGCTACCCATGTTGCTCACGTAATTACCTAAGCAGGAGAAGAAATCTGCTGCAACTAATTCTTGGCCATTTAGTTTCAAAGCGAAACTGGTAGACATAATCATGCAGCACCACTTTGCATGTTGGTGCAAAGCGCATACCGAATCGAGCTACAGAACTTGCAAGTATGACAATTGCGGTTTGCCCGTCCTCCATACATTCGAACGATATAGTTAGCTTCGAACAAGCGATGGTATGAGCGTACTCAAAGTTGCGCGAGTGTTTCAGTTTCCCACTCAATACCAATATTTTGTAGATTACTTAGTGCGTTTTTCAGTGTTTCGTTTACGTTAAATAGGGTTGGCGAAATCGCGTTCTTTGACGAACACCGCTGCTAGTTTGGAAATATCTGTGTGGCTCATTATAGACCCTTATTATACCAGAAGTGTTCAAGGAAAGTGATTTCAATAGATTTGCATACGTCTGTGGCATTCCCTTGCAAAGAAGCAAACCCATAAGGGCTTCATTTTCAACTGAGTGGAATTCCCCGTTTAGGTCAAGGAACGCTTTGGTCGTTGGTGTCCACTGTTTAGGGCGCAACCCGAGGACTTGACGCAAGGTGAAGACTTCATCAATCCACCCACGACCGGATCGGTCTCCTGCTTGCTGTTCGAGAACAACCGTCTCCTTTAAAAACATATGGTTAGCCCAAAGCTGAAAATAAGACTGAACAAACCTAATGAAAACCATACTGAACAAACCTGTATGCTTGTACAGGTCATTCAGAAGCCGTAGAGATTGATTTCGACTACTGAAGTGAAACCATACTCACACGATCTAGATCAGATAAATTTTTTTTCTGAACAATTTCGATATTAGTGTTACTATTCGTTTGATCCCAGTTTCACTCTGTTTTGTATCCCAACCACCCGCACTCAGTTTCTATTATCATTTGTGCGTTGGCAAAAAATGCTTGCCGCGATACGGTGATATCAGTTCCGTTCAATTTTTGCAACCAATAACCATGCACTTTCGTGCTCCGGTTTTGGTTACTGTCTTTTGGTCGCCCATTTGGATAAAAGAGAAGAATGAAGATTGGAATGTTGAAGGCAAATTCAAGCGAAAGATGGAGAATTCATATAGGATGATGTTAGGGGAACAATGAGTGGATGCACGAGCGCCACTGTTCGCGACATCCAGCCACATTACTCAGTGTATCTAACCACCGGTGGCCATCATCCCGAGGTCCCCATCCAAGGAGTCTAACGGTGCCCATGTGACCTAGTCTCCTGGTTAGGATTTTCACGCCCTCATGCCAGGTCTTCGCTTGACCACCCGTGACCCTTTTCCAACCGCTACCTGCCTCAACAAACATCGCCCTCCGTGGCAACCTATTTGGTGACATACATAAAGCATGATCCAACCAACGTAATGGAAGTCGATCACTTGCTCTAGTGGACGACCGCGAGTGCCTAAAACCCTACGCCTAACCTCAGCATTGTTAGTCAGGTTACCCCACAAGACTCGTGCAATGAGACAGACAGCGGTGTTCGAACACCGATAATCTATTTTTATCCTGTTCCCGTAGTGGCCGAGTCTCTGCACCGTAGAGCAGTACTGGCCGACCTGCTGCAGCATATACTCGACCCTTCACAGAAGGTGATATATAAACATTACAATAAGTGGTATATGAATGACTGGAAGCACGCGATTGGTTTCACGGTTCTTGCCGCTCATCAGGCAGGCATATCCGGTAATCTTTTGTTACTTCATTCATATACTTTTACCCAGAGTGTATATATATATGTATACGATAAATGGACGGCTTCTAAAATTGTCGACTAGGAGTGCAAGTTCCGCTAAGTACACCTTCGTGCTTTGTCTACTATACAAACAGATTTTGTTTTGCACAATAAATAAACGATTAAAAGAAAGAAGTAAATCACAATTAAGGAAGG